GCTTTATACTTGGCTTAATTCCAGTGATATGTAGAAACATTACTCCCGTATACTTCTATTCCATTTTCCCTCTTTTGGTGGTAGTAATGTTTTACCTGTTTTATAAATTAATGTTACAAATCCAACAATACATTATTATAGTTACTTTAACATCTGTAGTCATTTCCTTAGCCCATTATAACTTTGTTCTCATCCATCTCCCTTGTGCTGTTACTGGCAAATATATTATACTTCTATAGGCTGTGGGCTCAATAATACATTATATACATATTATTTAGACATCACTTGTTAAAATCAGTTAAGGAAAGAAAGGAGAAAAAATATGCATTTATATGGTCTTTTACAATTACATATATATTTATGAGTGCTCTCTGTTTTTTTCATGTGGATCTGAATTATCTTTTGGGTCATTTGCTTTCAGTCTGAATATTTTGCTTTAGTATTTCTTGTCAGGTGGGTCTGCTAGCAACAAATTCAGTTTTTGTTTATCTGGGAAAGGTTTTATTCCATCTTAATTTTTGAAAGACAGCTCTGCTAGATATAGATTATAGATACAGATTCCTTCTGTATTATATAGATATTCAAGGTCAGAACACAGTGGGATAACATATTCAGAGTGCTCAAAGAAAAACACTCAACCAGGACAAATTGTCCTACAAACCAGCCCAATCAAATCATGGCTTCTTTATTTTTTTTTTTAATTTTTTTTTCAATTTTTTTTTCAACGTTTATTTATTTTGGGGACAGAGAGAGACAGAGCATGAACGGGGGAGGGGCAGAGAGAGAGGGAGACACAGAATCGGAAACAGGCTCCAGGCTCTGAGCCATCAGCCCAGAGCCTGACGCGGGGCTCGAACTCCCGGACCGCGAGATCGTGACCTGGCTGAAGTCGGACGCTTAACTGACTGCGCCACCCAGGCGCCCCAAATCATGGCTTCTTTAAAGGTCAGTGTTTGATATTTGTTCTGACTCATGAAGGCTCCTCCCAGCTGTAGCATTCTCCCATTCTCTCTACTATTCTTGAGAGGACCCTTAGCCTTGAACTTCTCCAGGCTCTGTTGTAAATGAAGTCAGTTCCTTTGGGAAGAGATTAGGGGCTGTTTTATAGCTTTCTCTACCCCTCCCCCCACCGCAGGCAAAATCTCTGAGCCAGACTCTGGAGCTAGGAGTGTGGATAACAGCAAGCTTCTCTTGAGTGATCTCCTCCCTCCCTGGCTCTAGAAGTTGGTGGCAGTGAGGGGATACATGGCCTTGCTGTCCTGGCATGGAACCACCACCTCTCAAGTCAGGGCAAGGGTGATCAGGGCCTCAATATTCTCAGGGCACCACATCAAAGACCCCATTTCATGATGGGATCCTGGGCAGAATAAGGGAGTCCCTATCTCTTACCTGCGCTTGCCCAGGGCTTAGTTCTTTAAAATTTATTTTCTATCTTAAAAAAAATTTTTTTAAACGTTTATTTATTTTTGAGACCGTGCACGCGCAAGTGGGGAGGGGCAGAGGGAGAGGGAGACACAGAATTCGAAGCAGGCTCCAGGTTCTGAGCTGCCAGCACAGAGGTTGACTCAGGACTCCCAACTCATGAACTGTGAGATTGTGACCTGAAGTCAGACACTTAACCAACTGAGCCACCCAGGTGCCCTTACTTTCTACCTTTTTATGCTAATGTTTAAGAATGCAATTAGGAGCACCTGGGTGGCTCAGTTGGTTAAGCATCTGACTGATTTTGGCTGAGGTCACGATCTCATGGTTTGTGAGATGGAGCCCCACGTTGCGATTTTCTCTCTCTCAAAATAAATAAATAAACTTAAGAAAAAAAAGTCTAGTTCTATATTTAAAACAAAAAGAATGTAATTTAAAAAAATCTTATTTTGTATGCAGCATCTTTGCTAAAATGTACTGGTTTTATTTTTTTAGGTTTATTTTTTATTTTGAAAGAGAGAGAGTGCATGCAAGTTGGGAAGTGTAGAGAGAGAGGGAGAGAGAAAATCCCAAGCAGGCCCTGCACTGCTGGCATGGAGCCCAATGTGGGGCTTGCACCCATGAACTGTGAGATCATGATCTGAGCCGAAATCAAGAGTTGGATGCCTGACTGACGAAGCTACCTAGTAGGCACCCTGAAACTGTATGAGTTTTAATAATTTGACTATAGAGTCTCTTGAATTTCTATGTAACTACTTATATTGTTTGAGATTAATGATGACTTTGTTTCTTTTTATCCATCCCATATACTTTTTATTTCTTTTGCATTTCCTTCTGTGTAATCTAGGGTTCCAATACAATATTAAAGAAAATTAGTTTTTTGGATTAAAAAAATTTTTTTTTGCATTTACTCATTTTTGAGAGACAGAGCACAAGTGGGGGAGGGGCAGAGAGAGAGGGAGACACAGAATCCGAAGCAGGCTCCAGGCTCTGAGCTATCAGCACCCAGCCCGAGGTGGGGCTTGAACTCACAAACCATGAGCCGAAGTCGGACGCTCAACCAACTGTGCCACCCAGGCGCCCCAAGAAAATTAGTTTTGGTAGGCATCTTTTTCTTATTCCTGATTTTAAAGGAAATGCTTCAAATATTTCATCTTCAGTAATATTTGCACTAGGTTTATAATGTATAATTTAATCAGGCCATAGAAATTTCCTTGCATTTGTAGTTTATTAGGAATTCATCTCATGAACAATCATATTAGCTAACACTACTGAGTGCCTTCAAGGTGTCCAACATTGTCCTAAGCACTTCACATAGATTAGCCTATTACATGTTCATAATATATCTTTCAGGTTATTATTATTCCTATTTCACCATGAGTAAACAAATACATTGAAGTTAAATAATCTGTCCAAGTTCAGGAGTAGGACTAGAATTTGAACCCAGAAGTCCAGCTTAAGAGCCTGGGGTCTTAATTACTTTTCTCTATAAGTTTCTTTATATTGCATTCTGAGTACTGAATTTTCTCAATTGCTTTTTCTGCATCTGATTTGACCAAACGGTTTTTCAACTAATTTGTTAACGTGGCAAACTACATTGATAAATGCTTGAACTGTTAAATCTTCTTTGAATTCCTAAGATAAATTCAACTTTGTCACAGCTTTAAAAAATACACTGATGAATATAATTTGCTAATATTTCATTTAGGATTTTTACATATATGTTCAAAAGTGAGACTGACTCAAATTTTCCTTTTTTGCACTGGTTTTGGTACTCAAGTTAGGGGCATGCATTTGGTGATATTTCACCCTTCATTATCAGGTTGAAAAATATAGTTAGCATTAACAGCTAGCATTAACAGTTAGACTCCTAGACTATTCAGTGAGGTTCCTGACATCCAAGCAAATGCTAATAAGCAGTGGACAGAAATGTCCAGGGGCATCTGAGCCATTTATTATTGAATGGTGGTCCAGGATGGCCAAAAGTGGCAAAAGAGCCTAATGTATTCTGTCCCCAAAAGTATGAAGGGGGTTGATCCTTAATCTAGTTTAAATATTGATGGCTGTGTTTTATTCAACCATATACACAGCCAAATAGAAAAAAAGTAGGAATCCTTTTAGTAAGTGCTTTATTTACAAAATATCTTTTATCTCACTGAATTTACCCAGTACTCTTTAAGAGCCATATTATTTGCATCTTACAGATTAACCTCTATTTTATAGATTAGTTAGTTAAGTGAAGATTACTTGACTAAGGTAATCAGCAGGTGAAATTAGTTACAAATTCAAATCTGTTTTTCTTTACTTCAGTTACATCAAGAAAGTATATCTTTTAGGAGAGACTGTAGCTCCTAGAGTGACAATGATTAGTATCTCACTTGTCACTGAGAGTACTGAGAATGAAAGAATGAATTTTCAAAGGTGGACTGGAGGAGGCTCCATTTCTGTTGACGGTATAGAAATGCTCTATTTACTATGAGTGTTCCCACAGGATTTTAATATACCTCCAACTGTGGAGGTTATTAATCTGTTTCTAAACAAAAAATTACTGTGTCTCTGCTAGTGCTAGACACTTTCCTTTTAAATTTATTTTTATTTTAAAGTATAATTAACATACAGTGTTATATTAGTTTCAGATATATAATATAATGATTCAACAATACTATATATTTCTCAGTGTTCACCAAGATTAAGTACAGTCTTAATCTTAATCCCCTTCATTCATTTCACCCACCCACCCCCACCCACCTCCCCTCTGGCAACCACCCGTTTGTTCTCTGTATTTAAGAGTCTCTTTTTTCCTTTGTTCATTTGTTTTGTTTCTTAAATTCTTTTTTTTTAAATTTTTTTTTTAATACTTATTTATTATTGAGACAGAGAGAGACAGAGCATGAACACGGGAGGGGCAGAGAGAGAGGGAGACACAGAATCTGAAACAGAATCCAGGCTCTGAGCTGTCAGCACAGAGCCAAATGCGGGGCTCGAACTCACGGACCATGAGATCATGACCTGAGCCGAAGTCAGCCGCTTAACCGACTGAGCCACCCAGGCGCCCCTGTTTCTTAAATTCTAAACGAGTGAAATAATCTAGTATTTGTCTTTCTCTGACTGATTTATTTCACTTAGCATAATACCCTCTGGGTTCACCCATGTTGTTGCAAAGGGCAGGATCTCATTCTTTTTTTGTGGCTAATACTTCTCTGTGTGTGTGTGTGTGTGTGTGTGTACACACATATATATACACATACACATCACATCTTCTTTATCCATTCATCTATAGTGGACACTTGGGTTGCTTCTGTATCTTGGCTATTGTAAATAATGCTGCAGTCCACATGGGGTGCATATTTTTTAGTTAGTGCTTTTGTTTTCTTTGGGTAAGTATATAGTAGTGGAATTACTGGATCACATGGTAATTCTAGTTTTAATCTTTTGAGGAACCTCCACATTGTTTTCCACACTGGCTGTACCAACTGTCCAGGCCTTTTTCCAAGCACTACACAGGTTTGGACAAAGTTGAAATAAACAAATAAAGAAAACTTCCAAATATGGTTATTAATAAGTTAGAGACATCTTACCATAATGTAGAGCTGTTTGACCTTCATTGTCCTGTAAAAGAAACAAATAACACATTTTAGAAGTCTAAGTTATTGCAGAAGTATGGAAGTACACAAGCTATAGCAAATATATCTGCTATACCAAAGTTCTAAAGGTTTATCAAATACAGTTCTTCTTGCCTCACAGTAACTTTTGGCCAAGCTCTACCTGGGAGAATAGGAGAGTGTTGAATGGTAACTTGTGTACTCAAGTAGCTACAGCAGAGTCACAGGATAACCAGATTGCAGATATTAACAAAAAGGGAACCTCTTAGAATGTGGCAGTTTGATTACCCAATTAGTGGCAAAAACCCTCTGATGCTGTGTATCATTGATCTCAGCTAGTATTATAATGTTTTTTTAAGTTTATCACCAAATATATCTGAGACATCTGTGATTTCTCAAAAGTTAGTAGCTTTTCAATCCCCTTTCAAATATTCATAAATTCTAGATTCAAATATTAGGTTTCCTAACCAGAGCAAATACCATAAAGAAATGTGATTTCAGGGGTGCCTAGGTGGCTCAGTCAGTTAAGCGTCTGACTCTTGATTTCGGCTCAGGTTATGATCTCACAGTTTGTGAGATTGAAACCCATGCTGGGCTCGTGGAGCCTGCTTGGGATTCTCTCTCTCCAAATATATAAACTTGAAAAAATAAATAAATAAAAAGAAATGTGATTTCAAAGTACACAAAGTCCTAGAAGTTATTAAGTTTGGAGTTCCCATAGATAACTCCAATAGTTGATTTAATTTTTTTTATTCTTTTAAAACCAAGATATTCTAACTATATATACTAATTTTAGCACAGGTAAGTGCTTTTTAGCAACACTGCCTTTTTTTTTAACGTTTATTTTTGAGAGATAGTGCGTGCGTGCTTATGGGTGGGGAAGAGGCAGAGAGAGAGGGAGACAGAATCCCAAGCAGGCTCCATGCCATCAGTACAGAGCCCAATATGGGACTCGAACCCTGGAACCATGAGAGCATGACTTGAGCCAAAGTCAAGAGCCAGATGCTCAACTGACTGAGCCATCCAGGCACCCCAGCAATACTGCCTCTTATTAAGTTGAGAGTAGGTGATGATATTAATGAACAACAAATAAATCAGGATTAAGTACAAGTGAAAGCAGAATTTAGTAATTAATTTGATATTGACTTAGTAATATGCATGGCCCTATTGTGCCCTGATAATTAAGAATAAATGCTTAGGGGCACCTGGGTGGCTGAGTTGGTTATGTGTCTGCTCAGGTCATGATCTCACGGTTCGCTAGTTCAAGCCCTACATCATGCTGGAGAGGAGCCTGCTTAGGATTCTCTCTCTCCCTCACTCTCTGCCCCTCTCCTGCTTGCTTGCATTCTTTCTCTCTCAAAAGTGAAAAAGTATAATAAAATAAAAAAAAAGCTTAATTGTTGTGAATAACTAGGAGAGGGTGGTATTATGACCTAATCAACTATTCTAGGGTACATCGTATCTACATTTTCCACTTCTTAAAAGTTGAATGTGGGGATTGATTCCCAGAACTTTTTGGCTATGGTTCTATTTAATCCCCTAGGAAGGAAAGCAAAAAGCTGTCACAGGAAAGTTCTTTACCGGTTCAGATAAATAGTGAGAAAGTCACTCCTTAAGGGCTTTTTAACACCTAGAGAAGGTTTACAGGGGTGACTTCTGGTGGGGGTAGGGAGACAACTTTAAGGCAATATAGTTCAAAAACATTTTTTTTCTTAAGTTTATTTTGGAGAGAGATAGAGAGTGCAGGGAAGCGGCAAAGAGAGAGGGAGACAAAGAATCCGAAGCAGGCTCCAGGCTCTGAGCTGTCAGCACAGAGCCTGACGTGGGGCTGAACCCACGAACTGTGAGATCATGACCTGAGCCGAAGTGGGATGCTTAACCAACTAAGCCCCCCAGGTGCCCTGCAATATAGTTTAATTAAACAGTTTTCCTACCAGAGAATGGGAATTCTTGTTGGATTTGGGAGTGAGGTGTGAGAAGTGAGTGGAGATATGAAAGAAGTAATTTTGAGGGCCCCTGGGAGTAGGGTAGACTTGGCTGAAGTGTAACAGTGGATGCTCATTGAGCAACATAAGGATAATAAATTCTAAGGGAAGTGAAAGATGGAAAGCAGCACTAAGAAGTCAGGGAGATAACAGAACATTTTTGCCTCCTTAAAAAAATTTTTTAATTGAAGTATAGCTGACACAATTATATTAATCGCATGTATACTACACAGTGATTCAACAATTATATACATTACAAAATGCCTACTTCTTTCTTGTCTTTTCCAATATAGCCCCTACCTTGCTCCCTGCTCCCCTTTGCCTTGCCCTGCTCTTGAGGTTAAGGACAGGTAAGGGAAGAGAGCGAAGGCAGCTACAGTTAACAGGGTCCAAGTGATGCTGATGGGTGATCAGTATGACAATGGGAAGTTGTGCTCCAGAGTGTTCTGAATTGCCTGGCTACCACCAAAGGCATTTAGAAAGAACTGAACTGCCCATTACAGCTTTAGACTCACATCTACTTTGCCCACTTCCAATGTTAATCAGTAAAAGAGAGTGTGTGTGTGTGTGTGTGTGTGTGTGTGTGTGTGTGTGTGTGTGTGTGTTTACGCATTCACACGCATGTATGTGATGAGTTTATACGTTCGTTTATTCATTTATGGTTTAAATGTCCAGTAATAGAAAAACAATTTCAGAAAGGGCTTAATCTATTATAATTTTGGACTTACGCATCCATCATGCAAGGTTATTATTTTCCACAATTATCTATCTTTAGAAAGTGTAGTTCTCTTGCTATTTGTGCATAACTTTCTTAATCACCCTATTCATATATACTAAAGGCTAGTTTCTTTTAATTTCTAATTGGTTATCTTCACTAGGGAGGTGGAAACCATTTCTTTTAATCACTTTTACCAATGAATACTAAATGTGTATCTTCAGCCCAATTTCCAGTTAATTAAAAATATTTATCGAGCTCCTATTATGTCCCAGTCACTGTTCTAGGGACTAGAAACACGGAGATGGGCAAGACAGACAAGGTCCTTCATGTTATAAATCTTATATTCTACTGCCAGGAAAAGTAATAAGCAAGTAAGTATATTTAATAACAGGCAGAGATAAGTGCTCTGAAAAGATAAAGCAGAATAAGGATCTAGAGTGATGTGGGGTGCTGTTTTAGATAGAGAGGACAAAAAAAGGCTCTATGAAAAGGTATGTTTACACAAAGAACTGGGGAAGATGCGAGGGTAACCAAAGCTGAACAAACCATAGCACTCATCATCCTCCTGGTCTGAAAAGCTAAGCCAAACCTATCCTATTTTTTCTCTCAGGATTTTAAAATATGGAACTAGGGGATGGAAGTATGTGTATAGAGAAGATCCTTTCCTCTCCAAGCAAAAGAAAATGGTGTAGTGAAATGAGACAGACACAAAAGGACAAATACTGTATTATTTCATTTACATGAAGTACTCAGAGTAGCCAAATTCAATGGGACAGAAAAACAGAATAGTGGACACCAGGGGCTCAGGGAAGGAAGGAATGAGGAGTTATTGTTTAATGGGTACAGAGTTTCAATCTGCAATGGTGAAAAAGTTCTGGAGGTGGATGGTGGTGGTGGCTGCACGACAGTGTGAATGTGCTTAATGCCACTGAACTGTACACTTAAAAATGGTTATAACAGTTAATTTTATGTTGTATTTTACCAAAATATAAATAAAATAAAGTTTTAAAGAAGCAACAGCAGAAGCTGTGAACCCAAACTGCAAGTGGCGACATTCTTCACTTCTTGGAGAAAACTTCTTCAGTAGGAAAAAAGTGAGTAAGTATTCACAGAGAGAAGTAGTGGTCAGAGATGGAGAGAAAATGAGTCTCTGAAATTCTGTTTCTTAGCTGCGTGTGTTTGGGCCCTTGGAGAATTACCTTGCCTTTTTTTTTTTTTTTTTTTTTTTTTTTTTAAAGCTCTGCTCTGCATTCAGAGGGATGCTTATTGTATTTTTTGCTGCACTGCTGGGTGTTTTACAGTGGGAGAATTTTTCAGATTATTTAGTCTGGAATCTGGGGGAAAAGGAAATCCCTTAACCTTTAAGACTCAGTTCACTTTCTTCAGGAAACCTCCCCAACTCCTCTTTTTCTACCACTGGGCAGATCATACACACTTACCTGTCTCTTCCACTAAGACTGTAAACTTCTTGCAGACAAGTGTTATGTCTTTTACCCAGTGCCCATCACAGTATCTTGCATATAGTGTATGCTCAATAAATGTTCTTGAAATGGGGGAATGAATACATTAATCTTTCCTCATTGGTTTATTCTTTAATTTCTTGATGTACCTTTTTTCTTTTACCTGAATTAAAAACAAATGTTCCCACATAATTCCTATAGTATGGAATATAATACCAGATAGAGTAATGTAATGAGGGACTAAACAATGATGAACAGGAGACTGAGTTTATAGTTAACTAAGGGCTAAATGATTACTATATTCAGTTTGACTTCCAGATTCCTTTTCTTCTATAGGGTCACACAACAAACTGGTCCCTCATGAATTTATACAGATTATTTCTCTCCCCACATGTATTCTGCACTTATCCTTTCTTACTTTGTTTTAATCACGTCTCCATTTTATTAGTAATTATTTCTTTAAGAACTTAGTTTTCTTCTATCTCCAGACTGGGCACTCTATCAAATGTAAGAAACAGATTTAATTTTACCAAATGAAGTATTGATGAAAATATTAAATATTTTGCTTAGAACTGATATATAGGAAACTTTATTTTATCCCTTTAACATTAAACCACTGATAACATTACTATTCCCTGTGCATAAAACTCTGTGGCCAAGTCCTGAGTTTTTCCCTACTGCTAGAAGCATTTTATCAAACTGAATCAAGAGCCACATTTCTAAGTCAAGATACACATATTTTATAGCTAACATCATATCTAATGGTGAAAAACTGAGAATTTTTCTTCTAAGATCAGGAATAAGACAAGGATGTCCACTCCCACCATGTTATTCAACTTAATAC